AACAGATAAAATATTGAATTGTACTAAGACTAATTAATAATAAATTAATCCAATATTCTCAACCAATAACCAATATTCTCAATTCAAAATTATTAGCAAACCTTTAAAAATTTTCTAAATATTTACTAATCTATTTCTTTCCTTTCAATTAACAATCAATTATAAATAATATACTTATCAATATAAATTCCAATTAGAAATCTAAAACAATAAATCGTGTAACTATTCATATTTAAAATCATCTGGTTCTCTTAAAAATGAGCAGAAAAATTAGATTTGAAAAAACATACAATGAATGCCACTACAGTCACCAATGCATACAAGTGTATTTGTTAATATTTAATTATATATTATTAATTTAATAAAACAAAAAATTAATGCAATTTTGATAACTTACCCTACGAGAAATTAAATAAATCACTATATTCTACTCACCAAGTGACATGAAAGTAAGTCTTGCACATCCCAGCATCACATCCGATGCAAACACCAGTTCGTGCAAATCTATCATCCTCACAAAGACAACAAACTTTTGCTCCCCATTTATTATAAGGCATTTCAAAAAGAGTTACTGAAGATAAATGATCCACTTCGCCAAAAGCAACACCTGGTACGTATAGTGCACATACCAAATGCACCCATTTTCCCACATCAGTCTCCTTGAAAATCCCTCCTGAAAAATAATAAATTAAATTTGCAAATGAAATAATAAATGAACATCCATTTCAAAGCAAAGTTGTAAAGAAGCTTACAAAAGCTCATGTTTAAACTTGATAAATATGAAACATTATTTAATTTTGACTAATTGAAAAAATTAGAACAAAATCTGATTACATTTTTGTGCAATTAGTTATTGACCTGCAATTTGTTTGAATCGAGTTCAAGGAAAAATAGTTTCTTGGAAGGAAGGATTAATACTTTAGAATTAATCCTGTTAGAAAGGTATATAGAATATATTTGAATGATTTAGAGTTGAGCCTTATGTGTTAACAATAGCACTGCAGCAATTACATTATTATAATAGAGCAATTGTAAACAAAAGTCAACTATCATTTCTTACCTTCATTAGGGCACAATTCGCAGTGTGGATTCATGACACCAGCCTTGCACGCCTCACAAAACCATGGCTCTGTCGAACAAGATGAAACCGTACTAGAAACACTAGCAGAATCTGAGACACCATAGCAGCCTTCATGAACAGTCGTACCACATCCATCGCATTCCACAATTTCATTTGTATCATCACTCCTGTCTCCCAGACAACCCGCACAAATTGGAGGAGTTTTAATCTTTTTATCAAACTGTAAAATATAAGAAATATTAAATAAATAAGATATACATAAACTAAATCTAAATACTAAGAATGAAATAATGTCAATAGGAAATTTATTATATATATTAGCTAAATAAAAAAACTGTATGAATATTTCATAGTGTCATAATATCAGTATATATGATATATTGATAAAGATTTTATTATCAAATGATGAAGTTCTGAGAAGAGTCAGCAAAGAAAGAACTCTACTGAGCACAATTATTAAAGAAAAAAGGATACTGGATAGGATCCATTCTGCAAAAAAAGTCCCTTTTAAAAAACACACACATTTTACACATTATTTATGTGTGCCTGGTGCATATTTATCAAAAATGTTGAAAAAGTATGAACAAAGAAGCAATTTAAAACAAGCATAAAATCATATAAAATCTTTAGGTAGTCTTTATATAAATATAAATCATATCTCCAATTTGATTCAGTGTCTCTTTTCACAACTTGCCTGGCATTTTCCATCTTGATTTATTTTATTTTTGCTTCCTGTATAATATCATTAATTGATTTGCCTTGATCATTTGCCTGAGAATTTTTTGCTTTTTCATCCTCAGAGTCAGAACTGTCATCAGAATCACCAGATTCATCATCTAAAATAAATGAAGAGACGATTAGTATATATACATATATATTAATAAAATTCCAAACAATGTTCAAAAAAAAAATACTGTAGCAATTTTAAAATCTCTCAAACATTCTTACTCATAATAAATTCTACTTTATATTCCAATCAGAATATGTTTTATAAATTATCATTAACAAATGCTACTGGTATTTAAAAATGTCCATTTATCTAGACATCACAATAAAATTTATTATACATATTAATTCAATAATAATACAATGTACTTCGTAATCAGTAACAACTTATATAAACTAAAACATATGTAATACATAAAAGATATTTAGTCTAATATATAATAGATTATTTAGTATATTAATAGTTATAACATATCTAATAGATATTTATTCTGCAAACAAATATGAATTAAAAAATAAATATAATTGTTTGTGAAGAAGTGTAGAAAGTAGTAATTTGGTTATATCTTGTCTAAAATATAAATATCAAGATTTCTCAAACAAGAGTTATTATTTTAGCAATTAGAAACTAAAATTTATCAGTTTCAGCAACAAGTGCATAACATCTCCTTGAATTGATAAATTACAAAAATAAATGCACTGTACAAGTTACGATGCAATGTGTTTTTTTTTTGAATTGTTACTTTTAAGTGTAATTATTTTTACAAAATATACATCATTGCTCAAAGCATCGCAACATAGTATACAGGCAATAAAAAATTTAAAACAATTAAAATAAAATCGTTTTTAAAAATGTCTAACACATAGTACACACATTATACAGTATAATAACTTTTGTTTGAGAAATATTGAAATTATATTCTAGCCTAGATATAATTTATACCTAGCCTAGAATATAAATTTCAATATTTCTCAAACAAAAGTTATTATGGCTAAAAAGTAATATACACGTAACATTCCTTGAATTAATTCATTACAAAAATAAATGCACGGCTGAAAGTTGTTTTGTTGAATTGTTACTTTCAAGTACATTTTTTTACAAAATATTGGGTCGTTCAGAAAGTAATTTCGTTTTTATAGACATTTTTGAAAGGCAGTTTCTTTTAATAAACCAATACTTTACCAAATTATACATTGGTCGTTTTATCACAACTTTTGTCATATTTCTCCTAGTAGCATAATTCTAGAACCATAAATTTTATGGTCGTTACTGGCAAAAACAAAAGCTGAGCAAGGTGCTTTTTGACCTCCTCCTTTGAGGTAAAGATATTAACGTCTAAAAATTTTATTAGTGACCGGAACGAATAATAATCTGATGATGCCAATCTGGAAAATATAATGAGTGTAACATTCTGTTCCATTCAAGCAGTTAAAGCTTTTGGCTATTAACCAAACTGATGTCTTGCTTGTTGATTAATTTGGGCCTTTTCTATTGGTGTACATAATTTAGTTTATTCAGTTGATAACATTGGGCATATGAATTGATCGTTATGTTATCCTGAAAAAAGATGAATCACAAACAACTCCTTTAAAATCTCACAATATATACAGCAACACCTTTTTCAGGTGAACATCGGTTTTGCAACTGTTATGAGCAAGTTTTTCTTTTTTGTTTTATTCACTATTGCATCTGATGTATTGCATACAACCCTTTTCTTGTTCCTCTTGATGATTTGCTTAAGAAACTGATCATTTTCATGACGTTTCAGAAGCAAATCCACGAAGCGGTACTCTTTATGAGTACCTGGAAAACTTATATATTGAGCTTCAAGAAAAATACCAGACCTTTCAACTGGTGACGAACTGTTGAATTCGATAAAATTAAATTCAATGGCATCTCATGTGTTATTATTCACTGGTTTGCATCAACTAATGACTTCCTCGTGTCTTTAACAGCTTCAATCTATCTTCCTCAATGTGGTGCATCTTCGACATCAAAATTTTGGAACAAAATTTAACCAACCAGTTCTGGCACAGAGGCACTATCAACACATCTTTCACATCAGTGAATTTCATTAGGGCTTGAACATCATTTTTACCTTTTCTGTAGCAAAACAACTGGAAAATGCTTATTATTGCTTTCCATATTTAAAAGAGCAAAAACTACTCCACATAATTGATTAGTATTTTTCATGTGGCAAAACTTTAATATATGGGGTTTCAAATCATATAATAATTTTAGGGCATTAGTGTGATGTGTTGTTCAAAAACATAATTAAATCCATTGTGGTAACAAAAACAAAATTACTTTTAGATCAACCTTATAGTACTTTTATTATGTCTAGGATATAAACTTAAAGAATTATAGACTTAAACGAATCTTGTCTAGGATATAAAATTTAAAAAAATTCTAATGGGAGTTATTATTAATTTAGCAATTTGACAATAAAGATAAAGCATTACTATCAGCTTACACATAGTGCATAAAATTCACAGAATTAATTAGAATCAAATAGTACCTCTTCACTTGTAAATATAAAATATAAATATAAACAAAAATATTATTACGCAAATATTTCTAAATTACTGTTTGTTTCATCATCATATAAATTTAAACTCTCTCAAAACAAGGGTTATTATTACTTTAACAATTTAATTATAAATTACTCTTTGCTGTTTACGCATAGCATTAATTGAATTGATTTGAATCGGATAGAATCCCTTTCGCATTAAATTGTTGCATTCTACTAAACATATAAAATTAATATTTCTAAAAATTTTATAAATAACCGTCTGCATTGTAAACATTTGAACATTTCTCAAACAATTATTATTCTTTTAGCATTTTAATTATAAATCTCTCCTAGAAACTTGTGTATGTATAACGATCACCAAATTTTGGTTGCATGACCTAGCACCCCTATACATTAAAATAAAGCATTCTAGTAAGCATATTTGTAATGCATTTTATTAAACATATGAAATATTTCTAGAATATCTTTAAATTACTATTTGTTTTGTCATACATTTAAAGATTTCTCAAACAACTCATATTATTATTTGAAAATAAATTTGAGTTTGAGCACAACAAACCCAGAATTGGTTTGGACAAACCTCTTAACTTTCACATTAAGTATTTTACAAACTATATGAAATTAATATTACTAAAATATTATTAAATTACCGTTTGCTTTGTGAACATTTGAAGATTTCTCAAATAACCATTAATATAACATTAGCAATTTAATTAAAAAATATTTCTAGTAACTTGTGTAAGTGTAACAACCAGCAAATTTAAGTTGCATGACCTAGCACCTCTTTACATCAAAATTGAGCATTTTAATAAGCATTTATGTAATAAATTTTACTAAACATATAAAATACTTCTAGAATATCTTTGGTTTACCATTTGCTTTGTTATCACATACATTTGTTATTATTAGAAAATAAATTAGAATTCAAGCAGCTTGCGCACAACATTCCTGAGTTTCTGAACTTTGAGGTCGAGTATTTTACAAACTATATGAAATTAATATTACTGAAATATTTTTAAATTACTGTTTGTATCATGAACATTTGAAGATTTCTCAAACAACAGTTATTATGGTAATATAAATTTGAACATAAATTACTCCTAGATACGTGTGTACATATAACAATCACTAAATTTGGGTTGCATGACCTAGCACTCCTTTACATTAAAATTGAGCATTCTAATAAGCATATACATGTAATGTTTTACAAAACATAAAATATTTTCTAGAATATCTTTAAATTATTATTTGCTTTGTCATATATTTAAAGATTTCTCAAATAACTGTTATTATTATTTGAAAATAAGTTTGAATTTGAGCAGCTTGCGCACAACATTCCTGAGTTTCTGAACTTTGAGGTCGAGTATTTTACAAACTATCTAAAATTAATATTACTAAAATATTTTTAAATTACCGTTTGCATCATGAACATTTGAAGATTTCTCAAACAACCGTTATTATTATTTTAGCAATTTAATTAAAAATTACTCCTCGTAACTTACAATCACTAAATTTAAGTTGCATGACCTAGCACCCCTTTACTTTAAAATAAAGCATTCTAGTAACATTATAGTACGTAATGTATTTTACAAAACATACAAGATACTTTTAGAATATCTTTAAATTACTATCTGCTTCGTCATAATATACATTTAAAGATTTCTCAAACAACTTTTATTATCATTTGAATTTAAGTTTGAGTTTGAGTACCTTGCGCACAACATTCCCTTGGGGAAACCTCTCAACTTTGAGGTTATGTATTTTACAAAATATATAAAACTACTATTTCTAAAATATTTTTAAATTACCATTTCCTTCGTCATCAGTATTTAAGGAATCATAATCATCACTTTCTTCAGCATGGTCCTCTATCCTAAAATCACTGTCATCAGAACTTTCTTCCAAATCAAAATCCAACAATTGTTGTGCAGATTCCACAGGTTTAACTTTGCGTTTTTTCGGGTCCCTTTCGTCTGCAAACATTTTTTAAAAACGATAAAACATAAAATTTCACTTATACAGAAGTTTGTTTAAACATTTTTTGCGGAATTCACATGTTTTATTTTATGAAACTTAAAAACAACAATCGTGCTAGCTTGTCAAACGCATACCTAACCTATACTGACGGATTTTTGTGACGAAGTTTAGAAAAAATATTTTTTATAAAATGGAATTTTTGTAAAAACTTACGGTTTGAATTCATAATTATCACCATCGACACAAGGAATAAATAGTATTTAACAAAAAATAATAAAATATTTAATAATACATTTTTTTGTAATCAAAATACAAACTGACGCTATCTTTCGCGTATGGCAACTCTTTGAAGGAATATGAAGAAAGGATAATCTGGAAATACCGGGAAATTTAAAAATGGGGTTTATTAAAAAAAATATATAATAACTAGGTGTAAGTGGCATTTTTTCGTAAGAAAAATTGCATGAGCATTCTTTAATTCGTAAATTTGTGACCTAATCAATAAAAATTCAATAATTAACATCCCGTAGGGTAATTTGTGAATAATTTATATTTTACCTTATATATAAACTCAAGTTATATCAAGTAAATCGTCTAATTTTAATTTTAACAAACGTCAAAAAAACTACCCATTTTCTCAAACTTTGATGAATTTTTAAAATTAAACTACTTGTCGCAAAAGGCCGTAATATTTCAGTAAGTTCTATAAGACCATGATATATGTCTTAAGTTTTTTTTCAACAGTAAATTACAAGAAAGCGGCTCGGTAGATTTTCACCTAAAACTTATCAGTATCATTCTCAACGAATCTTTCGAACAGTTTTTGATTATTAAAATCGATTCGGTAGAATGAGCTTAAATGTGGACGAAATGTTTAACACTTTCTACCAAATTACAAAGAAAGGGCTTGGCAGTTCCTCGCATAAAACTGACAAACGTTAGTCTTCATTGAGATACATTAAATCGGTTCAAGCGTTTTTGAGCAAGCTCGATATTATATTTATATTTTAGTATGATCTAGAAGACTATGGTATCTACCGTCAAAATAATTATAATAAACATCATCGAAAAATTGTTTTTTAACACTTTATTACAAAAAAACGGTCGATGCGATCTTTATAAAAAACTAGCAGCACAATGCCCAACCAATACCTTTCGAACAGTTTTTGAATTTTCAAAATCGATTTAGAGTTGCGGGCTAAAACGTGGACAATTTTTTTTTTCACTTTTATGCTATTTACAAAGACGGCTTGGCTGATCGTCGCGCAAAATTGATACACGCTAGTCCCCATCGAGATATATCGAATGGCTTTTAAATTTTTGAAAGCGGTCCAGCCGTTTTTGACCGCAAAAAAATCTGCTCACATACACACGCTCACAAACATACACACACATACATACTTTTTCCAATTTTGGTCTCATTCGAATCAGAATGGTTTGAAACGTCGAGAAAACATAAAATTAGCGAATGGAATTTTTTGATGAAAACAAACTTCTCCTTCGGGAAATTAATACTAATTGATTATGAATAGTTATGGTATTAAATAACTGGAAAAGCTAAGGGCGGCGCAACATTGAGGAAAAACGCGTTGGAAGGGGGAGGGCGATGTAGCAAAAGGTTAGAAACCACTGGTGTAGGATATCATCAGAATGTGAGAAGTATTGCAAATTATTAAACTTTGTGTAATTCTTTCAAATGCTTATGTTAGTTATTTTCAACATAAAGTCTAAATATTATGCATCATGGAAGGAAAAACAAATATGGCCCTAAAATACATATTCGGTACATTTTCTAAAAACGCAGACCATTAACCATTATTAACTTCCCGCAGGATAAGTTATAGTATTCGCAAATAATCGAAAATAAACGTTTTTCTATATATTACTGAACACAACTCTTTGGCATACCATAGTATGTATGTGTGTATGCTTGTTCGGATGTCCACGATTTCGGAAGCACGAACCAACCGATTTGAATGATTTACTAAAGAATCTATTCGTATTGAAGGAGAGACGTGCTGATTAGTTATTGGCAATGGCAGATCCAACCGTTTTGGAGATTCGGAACAAAAACTGAAAAGAATAGCAATTTGATTAAAAAAAAATCATTTATCAAAAAATATCAAAAATGAGTATTACCAAAATTTTGAAACAGATATTGTTTAAAAATTCAAATATTGTTAAAAAAGTCCTAACTTTACTTGTTTTTGAGATATTGGCAGTGGATCTTTTTACCCACGAAGTTTTAAGCTCCGCTCTCCCCTAATGTTTTTCGACTATATGTTCATTTTTCGCCAGAAGCGAAATTATAAAATATTTTTCAACCGAAAAACAATAAGATTGTCATTTGAAAGTGACAAATGAGTACAAGTCTTTGAGGTCCACGAGGTGAAAAGCGCGGCTCGCGCTTGAAAATGTTTAATATCTTTCGATGTAACAAAGCCTCCAACAAATTGTAAAAAGAATTTTGTTGCAGAGAAAAAAAGAAATATATGTTTTTTTTTTGGATCGATTCAATTCGGGTAAAAGCCGAGTAAAACCTTTGTAAATATTTAAGGGTTGTTACTGTTAAGAAAATTGCAAAAACAAAAAAAAATTTTAATCATTACAAAGTTCACTTCAATATGAGTGTAATAAAAAAATAATAATACTGATCGGATCAGCACATCCGGAGATAATTAATTTACCGCAGATGATGTTCATAGAAATTGAGCAAAAAATCCATATTTCAATCGTAAATATTTACGTAAAAAAATTTTTTTCAGCAAAATCCTGAAATACGTATCAAATGATTTCATAAATAGTATCTGTAAACAAATTTTCAGACAATTCTAAAATGTCAAGGTTAATTAGTGTCCGGTTTGTAAAAGAATGACTCATATATAACATAATATACTTGACACCGTAATATAATATTAAATATGTAAATTAATACCTACTTATAATATAGTCAACAAATGTTGGAATTTCTGGGTTGAAATAAAAGAGCACTAATCTGAAGCGGCGATAAACAAAACAGCGTTAAGCGGGATATTACAGTTCCAAATTTAGTCTTAAACAGGTCAGAAGGTCTTGAAACATAAAAAACATAGAATTAACAAATCGGATTTTCCGGCGAAAACAAACGGCTCCATCGCGAATTTAAAATACTATGACGATAATAGATATTGACGCCTGAAGGACCGATAGACCCAGGCTACTCCGTTTCAACCCCGTAGTATGGGTCCTCATAATACAAAGTAGGGGCCCTGAAGGAAATCAGTCTGTTTGGCACAGCTCTCGGACATTTTAGTGTTTTTTGTATAGCAAAACTAGTGGGGTGTATGGCACCGTGCCTTAAGGGGTTAGGGGTACTTGCAGGCACGAAAAAATGAGTGTTTTCAGTATTTTTTTTCTGTTATTAAACGATGTTTTTTTACAAAAATATTAATACAGCATTATTATACAATGTTTTGACTTGATGTAACAAAAATTTCAGAAAAAAAAAAAATGAATATTCCCAAAGTTATAGCTGTTTTTGTTGACCCTGTTTCGAAAAACGGTCCTGGCGGTGACCATCATAACTCCTTGGAGATTCATCTAAAATCAATCAAATTGAAAAAATAGTTTTATGAATAGTTAATCCCGGGCCGGATCGAAGGTTTTCTTTTTTTTGCAAAAATTAACAAAATGGCAGCATCAGAAAGAAAAAATCTAGATTTTTGGGTAAAAAATCAACAGTTTATTGGCCTTAAAAACCTCAAATTTTTGAAAAAATAAAAATCCTTCGATCAGGCACGAGTTTATTATGTATTCTAAAAGCTGTATAAATTTCATTAGAATCTACTAAGCGGTTTTTGAGTTACAGTGGTCACCGATTCAAAAAACATAGTTTTGAGAAAAACGCGTTTAAAGTTTCACATTGGATTTACGTACAGAAATTCGAATTATTGAATTTCTTAAACCGAGTCATCTATTTCTGGGCCATATAATAGTTCATCAGTCATTGTGCAAGTTTCCAAAATTTCCATTTGCTGTTGCCTACGAAGCATTCTGGCCCGCCGAGTGTTCTCGTTGGCGCGCTGATCTGCCACTTTCACACGTGCAGCATCCAATTTTTTAGCATACCAATGGGAATTATACCCACAATTAGGTCCTAGGGTATCTATAATCAATAATAATGATTATGTATATCCATTCAGCAATTTGTACGATAGTAGAACTAGTATTCACGGTTTTTATGCATATTTTTTACACTAGTTGGTTGAAGCTTTTAATTTTTTCTGATTATGGATTCAATCTTGAACTACACATCTTGAAAGTAAATTATCATTGCTGAGATCGTCGTAAATCGGTTTAAACGCTTTTAAAACATCAGGAGGTGAGAGAGAATAATCTTGAGTATCAGTATCGAGCTCTCCAATTGCGTCAACGCGCCGGTAAGAGTCCAATAACTCAAAAAGTAATCAGCGGATCAACTTGAAATTTTCAGAGAACATTTTCAAGATATTACACTTAATGAAAATGCAAAAAAAAATAAAAATCGATTTTTCAAAAATTCCAAGTACCCCTAACCCCTTAAGGCAAATTGCTGGTACTTACCGTACCGTAACGAAATGTTCGAGGAATATTGAATGTTTTCAAATAGATTATTATTAAATTGTAACATTGTCTAATATTTATAAGATATAAACTGAATTGCAAAGTAGAAATTATTTGTTTAAAGTATATAAGAACTACAGTCAGAATTAATAATAAAATCTGAATTATTTTCGATATATAAAAAAAAATTTCTTTGAAAAAAAAATTGAAAAAAAAAGTTGAAACAAAAATGTTTTTTTCCGAAATTAATTATTTTGTTAAGACAAGCAGAAAGTTCTTTGAATCATTTAAATCGGACGCTTAGTTCTCTCAAAAACTGCTATTTTTTGCACATTTATCCGCTCCGTATCTTCGAAATGGCTGGGCCTGCTTTTGCCAAAAACTAGTAATCACTTCTCCCAATCATTACTAATTGAATGCTTTTTAGATCATTCAAATCGGATGCTCCGTTCTCTCAAAAACTCGATTTCTATCTGCGCTCTTTGCTCTTTATCTCCGTAACTGTTGGACCTGCCTTTGCCAAAAACTAATCAGTACATCTCCCTATCAATAGGAATCGAATGTTTTTTGAACCATTCAAATCGGTTGATGCGTGCGCCCGAAAACGTGACTGAAAAATTGTATCCATACATACATACACATACAGACATGTATTTTTTCTGAGGTATGCCAAAATGTTCAGAAACCTTCAAAACGTCGAGAAATGTAAAAAATTTCAATTTCAATTTTCGGTCTATTAC